GAGAGCAATTGCTGTGGTCAGGACAGGGAGGAAAGGATAATACAACCAGATTTCACTGGAGTCCTAGCCTCTTCAGGCTGTAGTCAGAAAAAGGGAACAGCTCCAGCCTCACTGCTTTCTGCCATGAAAAAGGAGAACTGGGAAGTGAAAATGGGAACCACTCAGCCCATTTATGAACATCACAAAATCTGCTGGGGACAGACTAGAGAAGCCCCTCTCAAAACCTGAGAAGCATCAGCTAATCCACCCCATTTCCCAGTTCCTCCCACCTTGCTCCAAGTTTGTTTTACTCTCAGCAGAAAACAGAGGCATTTCTTACTGGGCACACAGAAGAAGAGAAATTATTCTTGGTGTTTCCAAATCTCCAAACTTTCTGGAGATTTGATGTACGACACCAGAATTGGACAGAAATCCATGCAGGACAAGCGAGTGAGTGGCTGTAGGTGGAGACTCTCTCCTATAGATCCCCTTTCCAGCTGAAGCCTCAGCTTTGCACTGCCAATTGGAGAGCGAGCATCACACTTCTTCATAGTGCCTTATCAAGTTTTATGCTGTCAAAATAACAGCTTCTACAGAAGTAACATTTGCCTGAATATCTTCGACTGTTCATCTCAAAAAAATTGACTAAAACCTCTCAATCCTAACATGAGAAACTGTTGATAACAGTTTGTTTCATTTTACACAGCAGGTACTGTTTCATTAGAGCATACTTTTTGCCACAGCACATATTTTATCATATCTGAACCTGTATAAATATTTGTAAGCATATTTACTCAGTATTTTCTCAATTGCTCAGAGGTTTCTAAATTTGCCAGTCATTTTAATTTAAAACTCTCTTAATTAGAGACTGGTTGTCAAATGGATGTTCTTAGATTACAGTGGAGACAGAGGGCACAACAGGAGCACAACAACTAGGATTAGTGGGAAGACTTGCGTTAATAGGATAAAAATGTAGTATTTTAAATGATCAGTGAGAGGAAACAGCATCATCAAACCTTGGATTCATCTAACAGAAACAGAGGGCACTCACTTTTGATTCCAAAAGACAGAATTTTGACTAATTATTAAGAAGCTTCTGCGCACAGTACTGAACACAATGCTTCAGGAAGAGCTTTTAATAACATCTTAATAAAGTAGGTATTAAAAACTGCCCTTCCATTTCTCTCCTGTGTGGAGAAACATCCCTGTTCCTGTTACTGACTGGCAGCCTGGAAAGAGCTAGTTCCAACATAAAACAAAAGCCTGATTTTGTATTGTGAAAAACAGCATTCTGCAAAACACCCTCTGCTTTCTGACATAACAAGGCTGTACTACTGAACTGCTCAAATATACACTACAACTAGAAGGAAAACAGTTTTGATCTGCTTCAAGAGTCTCATAAAGAATGCATCGTATCAATACAGGTGACCCACACCACTATTCCTGTAGCATCTGAATGCCTTGCAAGCAGTCGCATCCTCTGAGGTAAAGGGACCGCTACCTACCACATTTTGATGCTCTCTTTCAGTAGCAGTTAAGGTTACACTCTAACTGTAGATGGGTAAAACCCATTTTTTTAATCAAGCACCACCCTCTCCTTAACACTGAGCTAAGGACCCACACTTGAGTGTGATGGTTAGATACATACAGTATATTACAGCACACATAGATAACTGCGCCACTGGTGAATTTCAAGCCAATAAGTTTTAAGATACAGTAAAAATTAAAAGTGACAGGACTTGTTTAGCCTTACAACAAAAGTTCATAAGGTTAAGGTTATCAGTAAGCACACAGGGGAAGGAGGGAAAGGAGGAAGGGTTAATTGCAGGGAGTAAGAAAAGCTAAAAGAACAATGCCAGCAGACACAAGAATGTATAAACTAACCACAAATAAATTTAGAGTGGAAATCTGAAGTTTTCTAGTCGTGAAACAGGGAATCTGATCAGAGCTGTGGGGTCAATGCATCCATCTGTTCCGCTAGAGCTCAATAAATTTATTATAGGATCACCTAAGACACTTCTGCAAAGATAGCCTCTGGTTCCAATCCCCTGCTATGTCTATGCAGCTAAACACATACAGGGCCAGGGACTGACCCTTGGCCCTGAGGCCAACTGACATAGACTGGCTCGTGTTCATCTTACTCAAGGCTCCATCAGCATTACACAGCACTTGGCCCTGGGTTTCCTCAAGGCTCCACGTCTCAGAGTCCCACGGCACCACATACTTATTTTGTATGTCACAGATCAAAGTGCATAAACAAGTGAGATGAGTTTTTTGCAGCCCACCAGAGCGGTATTTTCACAGCATGAAACAGAGGATGCATTGCATATCCCCCAGTATGGCCTGAGGGAGGGAGGAGGGTTAAGCATAGCATCTCAGCAGGCTCTGCATTATAGGCCTACACAGGATGACAGTTTTCTTGCAGCCTTTTTTCCACCCTGCCCTCCAGAGCAGCCTTTGAGTCAGCCATTCACAGAGCAATACTCAGGAGAAAGCAATACTCAGGAGTAAGCTAGTCAGAGTGGTCCAAAACAGATGGGAAGTGAGCTAACGTTTATGCCTAACCTACAACAGTACATAAAAACAGGAGGTCGGCATTCAGATCCACCCCCAGGCCTTTTCTGTAGCACTGCAGATTCACAAAGTAGCTCTAGAAGGCATCTCCCGAGTTAAGCGTGTGATACAGGCGCGATTACCATCGGCTTTACCTAATAAACTACATTGCAGCTCTAGTGATGAAGGTGCCAGCATTCCTATGATAAGCTAATGGAGCACACAGTAAGATTGTACCACGTCTGAACAAGCGAGTCAGCAAAAAGCAAGGATAAAAAGTTCAATCTACACAAATGCTGTGATGATTAGCAAAAGCAGAAAGGAAAACATGACAGTTTAATGAGATTTTAGCAGCAATTCTATGTGTCTCTGCATCTCCCAGAATTTTTTAAAGCAGAAGATTTTTCTATATATATACTTGTCTGGTCTGTCAACTGTGCTATCAAGATTAATAAGAAACTGCTAGAGTTTAAATGATCTGTGAATTACAAAATAGGTCGTTTATTCATCATAGCAGACACTTTATGTTACAAAGTTGTGATTTTTTTTAATGAGGTGAAGACTTAAGATTCTTGGGGGGAAGGGCAGTAGTTAGACCCATTCCTAGCAATGAACTCTTCTCTTCAAGCTCTTAGATTGGTTAGTGCATTTTTTTTAAACATCACATATTTGAGATTTTTACTTTACGCCTCATCTTTTGGAGCCAGAATTAACTAAAAAAAAAAATAAAATAATTCTCAGGTCATCTTGTACAAAGATTCCTCACAAATTCATGCAGCATTTTTAGTTTAAATTTGTCAGCTTCGATTTAAGTGCCTGGAATCTGCTCAGGTCCCAGAGACCACCCACACTGATCTTAGTTCAGAACTGAGACCTTAGAGCAGCGTAAAGATTCAACCAAAATCAATACTCAGTTTTCAGTACTTTATATTTAATCAATGGGCTAACACTTGTTTCCTCATCCTATAAATAAAGAGCAGTCATACCAAGTTGTACCATTACGGTACTGTCAATATATGTAAAACCAGTGCTTCTGTGCTTTAGAGCAGACTTAAAATTTGGCAAGAGCTGGCCCTAGTATCGGGAATACATCCCTTATGAAAAATATGAAACTGTCTAAAGCTTAAGAGTTAACGTTAGAGGTTTTATAATAAATTGGTAAAGTGAACAAGGACAAAGCACCACGGTTTTAAGAATTCAAATACGAAACTGATGAATTATGTGCTGAGGCACTGCATATCATCTTTCACTTCAATGCTATGGGAAACCAGGAAATGTAATGCCGGGTTTTAGAGAGAGCACTGGGTGAACACAGGGAATGTTAAAACTCATGCAAGTCTAATTTCTGCATCAGACCAATTGTTAGAAGTTACAAGTAAAAAATAGCATTAGTAGGCAGAGATAAATACTGTACACTGGAAAAGACTCGGTATCTCTTTGCAAAAGCTAAACTCTGGTGCTCATTTACCCCCACCCATGCACAGGGAAGGGAAAATTTCTCAGGGTTCTTGCTCAGTTTTGTGATTCTTCCTCCTGCCATTCCCGAGCCCAGGACAGGCTGAGATGCAGCACAGGATGAAGGAGCTCCTAATACCCACTTTTCCTGTGCCCACGGCTTCTGCTGCGTTGGTCTCACCCCACAGAAGGAGCTAGTGTGAAAGCAGAAAGATGAAGAAGGAGATTTAAGAGACCATGCACTCCCTGCTTCCTTATCAGTCCTAACCACAGTTCCTCCCCAACATCAGCTATTGCAGGCCACCAGGCAGCTCTCAACGCCATTTCTACGCCCAGCAGACAGCACTCATGGCATGAAACCTGAGGCAGCCCAGCAAGTTATCTCCTTAGTTCCTGCAACCACACCTGGCCCAGAGGAGTAACTGTACAGCCCTGTTGACAGGTGCACCAAAATTCACAGAGGACCCTTCAAAGCAGCCTTGCACAAGGCCAAACTACACCTGCTGCAGACAAAGACAAGTTCCAAAGCAGTGCTCAGCCACATTCACCATGAAACTGTCCTTGCTCTTCATTCCTTTTGCTCATTTAGTAAACGTGAATCAAATCATTGGCTCAAATAAACAATGAAAGTCACCTCACCCATAGCAGCATAGATCCACTGCATACCAGATGAGGCAAAAATGGCATGGAATCACGGAATGACAGAACACAGTCACATACTTCAAGACAAACAAAATTCAGCTCCTTCATAATATGTATTGCCTATGTCATCAACACTGAACAATGGAATTTCCCACAACCACTGGAGTTTGCAATTTTAATACCTGTATTTTAGACACAATTATTTGTTTTGTATATACATGCTCTCTGCAATTTCTGTGGAGATGAACACACAGAAGCAGCAATTGTCTGCATACACTCCAACTGTGTGCCAATGAGCGGCATTATATTTCCATTTTCACTACACAATCCAAAATGGCTAATCACTTGATGAACATACTTCACCACGCAGTCAGTCCTTCATAAAGACTGTTTTCATTTCTTTTCAGAGCCGTGATTTTTATCCTGATGTACCACACGTGGGCACATTATCAAAATCAGGTGAGTGCAAGAAAAACATCAATACTTTACCAGCTGAACTTTCACATATACAGACATCACAAGTCTGACCTGTCAACCACAAGAAGCCTTACCATAAGGGTATTTTGTGTCTAGTCTATGTGCTGCTGTTCTTGTCCAGGGTAGCACATCATCACTGCAGCCATTAGGCATCCCATTGTATCCAATTCCAACAATCTTGTTTTCTGAATTTACAATGCAGGCACCAACCTAAATAAAATCAGATTTATATAGTACCAACAGCATCCAAAATGATGTATCAACAAGAAAGACAAGACCTGAAGAGTCAGTCCTACAGTTTTCACTCAAGAGATACAAGCTTCACTTTATATAAAGTCACACCACCTAGTGAGCAAGGCTACAACTGTACCTAACTGGTGGAGTTTTAAAATAAATCAGGGCAGATGCAACCCTGCTACCCCTCCAGTCATGCAGTCCCCATCCCAGCCCGCCAGCACTGTTCCTGGCCCAACTAGGAAATGAACCTAGTTCAGGGAGCAGAAGCGGCGCTGAATTAACCCTACTAAACGTAAGTTTTCTGTCAGTTCAACTCCCCAAACTAGCTTTTCCAGCAGCAGTACGGGCAGCAGCAGCAGCAGAAGAGAAGGTATGGAAGAAGGAACAGAAATGCAGCAGTGCTGACTTAGGCAGACAGGCTCACAAACCTTTGTGGCTTTTTTTTTTTTTTACAGGAACGTGCACCAAAATACCAGACCTTTTAACTCCCACCCTTTATAACTTCAATCCAAGTCTGCACAGGGACCCTTCTTATAGAATGACAGTGTTCCATTTTTATGTTTTCTGCCCATATTTTAGATTTATTGAAATGGCAATAGTACTGATTTTAATTCACACAATGTGTTTATCAACCAGCTCTTGGATAACAAAAATTTAGCCCTAAGTGAATAACCGTCAGAGAACTAAGAGCCATAATGTACTGAAGCCAGAGCATAACCGAACAGACTGTTAATGCACATTTTACTCCATGGCTTTTCTGGGATTTGCTTCCTGAACTTTTTCACACAAAGTAAGACCAACAGGATGGCGGGGTCCTGCAGAACAGCATGTTTCAGAAGATGTATCAATCGCCTCAAACCAACATTCAACAGAGGCACATGAAAGAAGCAAAGAAAGGGGACAGACAGTGAACAGAGGGGGAAAGGGAACCTGAGGGAGGAACCAAACTAGAAGAAAACTCCAGTCAACCCAAGAACAAACAAAAGGGAATTTTTAAACCCTTACAGGTGAGAAAAAGGAACTTCTAAAATGCTGTGTCTTAAAAAATACAATCTAAAACTTTCAATTTTATTCTCCTCTAACAGTAACTATATTTACTGGAAAAAAAGGAGAGAAAATGCATGTGTTATTCTAACCTCCAGATGAAAAGATTTACAAAACTCCAAGCCACAAATGTACACAACAGAATTATACACACAAGGTCAGGCCCAATAAGACAATTTCTATAACAAAAGGTGCTGACCATGTTAAAAAATTGAATAGCTATATACTGAAATAACTTTTAATATGAAATCCCTGAAAGTGCTACATGTGCATCTGATGCAATGTGCAATATAGATTAGGTTATGTTATTCTTATACGTTGCCTTCTTACCTGAGAACTTGGATCCTTGCTTCTTTGTGCTGACAGAAAAGCTACTGCCATAAAATATTCAGGCCATTCCAAATAATCCTCTCGTTTTTTACAGGATGCTTCATTGCCGAAACTATAGTTTATGGAAAAAAAAAAAACAGCCATCAGCAAACAACGCATAGCTAGAGTTATTACAGATGGTATTCTTTCAATGTGCACAAGTTTAAAGTAACCAGGATCAGAACCTAAGAAGATCACACATTCACACAGTAAACCTATCAGTGTTATGTGCTTTCCAGAAACTTGCATATGCAACATTTCCTTTCAGGAGAAAGGCATCCAAGCAAGGTTGCAAATTTCAGTTTTAGATAAAGAAGGCTGAGCTTTTCAGAGCACTGAGCTATTCAAAGACAGAGCAATTTATCCTTTATAGATAACACTTTGTATATTTCTAAGATTGAGGTATATCATGTGCTGGCATTCTTCTCACACAAACAACAGCCTTTTTTTATAATGGCTGCACTAACTGCAAGCCTCTAATCTAAGTTATTTTGTACTTCTGCCTACGACAAGTGCTCCCCAGATTTCTGTTTGGTAGCTTCCTGTGCAGTCATTTGTTTCTGCCTGTACAGTTATTGCCATGAGTTTGCCTCTCGTTACAACACTTATCAGCAAAAATCTGAGGCCATTCTGATAGTCCCCTGCTAAGCTTCTCTTTGAGACTATGTCCTATGAAAGCCTTCTAAACACTGAGATGGTTCAAGAACTTTTCCCTTAGATATAACGTATAAAAGTGGCACAAAACATTTCTTCTCTCCCTGCACTGAGGGGTTTATTTGGGGGAAGGAGAGAGGGGAAAAAAAAAAAAGCGATGCATCATTTTTGCCTGCTTATATTTGAAAGACTGCTTGGACATCGTGAGCGCAATAGGGGAACTTCTGTGCTTTTCAGCTCAAAGAGAAGATAGACATCTCTCTCTCCCCCTCCCACCCCAACATATTTAAGCTTTGCAAACTTCAAGGAAAAGATCAAATTCAAAGAAATTTGCCCAAACTCTCACCTATCATTGCTACACTTGAAAACCAAAACAATGGAACATCTCAAATACAGTAATTAGCCCATCAAAATACAAGGGGCACAGTACTTTTCTTCTTGGGATTCTCTTACCGAGAGCTACAGCTTAAGACTGAGATACTTTTCTAGCGATGTACAGCCATGCAGAAAAATACATCTTAGGTAACTGCAAGCAGCAAGACCTGTCCTAGCCACACTAGTACCGGCACTTTCAGAAGACAAACAAACATTAGAAGACAAGTATTTTGTTAATTATTACAATAAAAAACATATATTAGAGGCTTGCAGTTAGCTTGTCATAAAGAGGTTACACTACTTCAGTGATGACAATGCCAGCACATAATAAAATGGTACTTTAGAAACCCTACAGGGTGCTATTTACCAAAGATAAATTGCTGGCTTTGAATAGTTCGTATGTGGCACAGTACAAGTTAGCAATTTTGACTTATTCTTGGAATGAATGAGGATGATCTTTAAGGCCATTATCTCAACATAAGGCAGGTGAAACATACATTCTTGGTTTAACCAGCACACCCCTCTCACACTTTCACAACATTGTAAATAGTGCTCAGAGCTATCAATTGTCAAAGCAAACACACAAATCAAGTGTGTGATTCTGAGAATGCTCAAAATGGCTTGAATCATCCTAACTAAAGGGTTGGGGCTATATCCTACTAAGAAAGAAAAGTATTCTTCAAAGAACAAGAAGCTTACAGCAGGAAGAAATTAAAGACATGCCCTCACTCCTCTCCGTGCCAAACTGAACTCTGACAGGTTAAGTAAAATGCCAAGAGAGAGCTTCAGCTAACTTAAGTAATTATTTAAAATATCTCAGAAAAGCAGGTTCACAAAATCCAAAACACCATCGCACTTTAAATGACCAGTTTAATACATTCTCAACTACAGACATTCACAGTGGTGTCTCCGGAAAGGCACACAACACACAATGCAGAACTATGCCGAATAAAACATTCAGGGGAAAGGGCTCCATAAAGACAATAGCACTCTGAACTATGAGACTGTGAGATCTCCTTTTGTTAAATTATTTCCTAGCAACCCCATTTATTCAAAACACAACAAAAGCTACTATTTACTTTTCTCATAAACACTGAACTGTATGTAAGCGGAGATCTCTCAGAGTACCAACTTCACAGGGAGAGGAGCAAGCGTGGAAAATCAGCAGAAGGCTTACATCAAAAAGAACATAAAAAACCCCATCCTTACTCAATTACTTCTACTTGACATCACTGTGTTTGGCAAGATAATTCCCTCAACTCAGTGCACAGGAACGCAAGAGTGTGAAACGGGTATAAAACACTTAATTTGTGATTGAGCAGAAGCCAAGGCCTTGGCGGTCAGTCAAGCACACACAGGAAAATTAAGTTTATGGATTTGGGTCAGATGATCATCTTCCTTACGCTCATTTTTAAATTCTAGAATTACATGAATGAAAGCTACTCTAGAAAATATTAATAGCTAGCTGTAAAATAAGCAATTAAGGTTTACCCTTGTGATAACTCAGAAGAACTTATGAATAAAAATAATGGGACCTGAAAGCCATGAAGATAACACTGCTCAAGAAGGGGAAAAAATATCCTTAAATTCTAGAGTGATTAGCAGTCTGTAGAAAAGTCTCTGTAAACAGTATTTCAACGGAAAACAGAGGAAAAGATTCTGCAATTAGAGGACAGTGCCTCCCTTTTCAGTTCTTTTTCACCATCTCAGCTTCCTGAAAAAGGAACACATTTCATTCATCTACTAAAAAAAAATAATTCTATCTTAATGAAAAATTTAGTTGAGTCTTAAAACAGAATACATCACCTCAAATCTTTTCATAGGACAATTATGATGGTCAGCTACGCAACAACAGTACAACTGCAGAACTGGTGGGTTTTCCCTTCTCCCTCTTAAGTTTTTCCTCCGATTTGTTATCTCTGATGTCATGTGCATTGTGTTCCAACTGTATCTTAGAAGTTTTTTTCTCCAGTATCAAGTATGCTACTGAAGATCAACTGTCCATATTTTGTCATTCAACTCACAGAATTTAAGGTAAAAAATGAGGTAAAGCATGTATTAAAAATAAAAATTAATCTTCAGCAATGCTCTTGTTCCCCACAAGCCAAAGCACATACATGTCCTTGATGACTTTCAACACTAGCTGCTTAAGTCTCACAATTTTGTTTATGACCGCTATTATAATCAAAGGCATGTGGCATTTCCTTTACTTGAGGCTTGTCATGTTTCCCCCATACAGGTACTGACATGTGGTCATTACCTAAGTCTTACTGCGAGGTCAGGTTTCGAGAGAGACGCGAAAGAAAAATCAGCCTTTCTTACAGAAAAACAATACTCTGTGCATTCAAAATTAACTATATTCAATTTTTTTCCTGAGAGATAACCCACTGAACCTGTAAATTATAAACACTTTGCAGAAATACTGAGCCCCAACTGAGTACAAGAACGCTTCCCTTCATTGACTGCATTTCGCTTTTAGAGCATCACGTCTTCGACTTTAACCAATTGCACGTTGCTCACGCCAGTCTCCATTTCAAGAAGTGACGAACACAAGACACCCTACCTGCTCTTTTTCCTATCCCAATGATTACAAAAAATAAAGAAAACAGGCCACACCCTCACGACAGGACCTTCAGGAGCTTCAAGAAGCTCCTCTGCACCGCGGAGCCCGACCTCCCCGGAGCCGTCCTACGGCGGCCAGGCGCGGGTGAGGGCCCAGCTGCCTCCCCCGTCCCGCCCTGCCCCCCCGAGAGCCCCCCAGCCAGGGACGGACCCGCTGCGCTGCTGGCCCGGGAGGGGCTCGCCGCGTGGCGCAGG